GCTGCGTCCATATTGGGGTGCTGGGGGGCTCCCGGGTGCCCTGTCTGGGGGTCTGGGTCCCTATTGGGGTGCTGGAACCCTTTTTGGGGTGCCCCGTTTCTCATGGGTCCCATACTGGGGGTGCTGAGTCCCCTTTGGGGGAGGGCTGGGTCAATTACTGAGGGTCCTGGGACTTACTGTGTGTGCTGGGTCCCATACTGGGGGTGCTGAGTCCCCTTTGGGGGGGCTGGGTCAATTACTGAGGGTCCTGGGACTTACTGTGTGTGCTGGGTCCCATACTGGGGGTGCTGAGACCCCCACTGAGAGTACCTGGACCCACCATCGCCAGCAATAGGATGGGCACGGGTGGCCATGGAGGCACCATGGCGCCGGGGACACTGGGTGCCATGGCAACGGGGACTGCACGGCCACGGGGACGCCCTGGTGTGGGGCCAAGGGGCACCGTGCCCCATAGGGCCGCCATGGGGCCCCTGTGCCATGGGGGGGTTGTCACCCTCCACCTCCAAGGCCACCTGATGTCACCAGTGATGTCACCCATGACATCACCCGTGACCTTCCCCACCCCACAACCGCCCCGTTGGACCGCTGCCCCCGACCCCCCCCCCCCAAACCTCGTGGAGGTCACGTGGTCACGTATGGCCTTGGGGGGGAGGGGGGTCCTTCCCCCCATGACGCCACGTGGTTGGGTGGGGGGTGGGCGGCCCCCCACCCCCTCCAATGAATGAATGAATGGGGAAGGGGGAGGGGTCACTGGGGGTGACAGGGGGGGTCACGGCCCCTCCTTCCACCCTCAAGCCCCGCCCCCTCCCCTCTGGTGCGGCGCACGCGGGACCCGCGGGGTCAGAGGCTGCGGGAGCGCCGCGTGGTAATGACGGGGGGAAACGCGTGACGTCACGTGGCGTGACGTGGCGTGACGTCGGGGGGGATCACCCATTTCCAAACCCTGGGAGGGAGTGGGGTCCTGGGGCTGGTCCCCACCTTAATGACAGGAGGGACACACTTAATGGGGGGGGGACACCCCACTAGTGACCTGGGTGTATGGGGGGGTGTCCCATGTTCGGGGTCCTGGGGGGGGTACACGTGGTGATGTCCTTAAAGGGGACCCCCCTCTTTTATGACGTAATGAATGGGGGGGTATCCAGTGTTGGGGAGTCCATAGGGGTGTCCCACATAGGGGGTCCAAGGGGGGGGTCCCATACTGGGGGTCCCATCCCATTCCCCGTGTCCCCCACAGATGCAGTTGCTGCGATTCTATGTACGGCCCGCCCCCCCCAAGAGGGTGGAGGGGTCCGAGGGGGCCCCCCCTGCACTGGGGCTGGGATTGGGGTCCCCTCTGAAGCTCGCCCGAGCCGTGGAGCCCTCGGTCACAAGCGTCACCTGCGAGACCTGCTACTACCTGGCCTGGAGCGGTGCGGGGGCAATGGGGGGCACTGGGGATAATGGGGGTATATGGAATATGGGGGGTGTTTGGGGTCAAGGGGGGTGTTTGGAGTCAAAGGGGGTGTTTGGGGGCAATGGGGGGCATTTGGGGGTCAATGGGGGTGTGTTTGGGAGTCAATGGGGGTGTTCGGTGCCTATGGTGGGGCTTTGGTGTCACAGTGGGGGTCCCAGCCTCGGTTCCCACAGGTGATGCCCCCCCGGACGCAAAGCAGGGCCAGATCCTGCGCTGGATCCTGGGGTCTCCCCTGGGGGGTGAAGACGAGGTGGCCCCTGAGAGCTTCCTGCAGCCTCATGGCCCCCATGTGCTGCTGGAGATCGGGCCCAGGTATAGACCATCCATGGGTGCTATGGGGTCCCATGGGTTCTATGGGGTTCCATGGGTTCTATGGGGTCCCATGGGTGCTCTTGTCCCAGGCTTGGGGTCTGCACAGCTGACTCCACCAACGCTGTGTCCCTGTGCCGGGCAGCTGGACTTGAACCAGTGCAGAGACTGGAGCGATCCCGGAGGCTCCTGCTGCAGGTGGGACATGGGCTATGGATACAGATATGGATATGGATCTGGGATATGGATATGGATGTGGGATACGGATATGGATATGGGTATAGATATGCGATATGGGTATGGATATGGGATGTGGATATGGATATGGGATATAGATATGGGCTTGGGATATGGATATGGAATATCGGTATGGATCTGGGATATGGGCCGTGGGGTCTCTCCCCTGTGCCATGGGTGACCTGTATGTCCCTGTTCCAGTTCACAGCCCCCCCCCCGGCAGGGGCCCTGGGGCGCCTGGGCAGGGTGCTGCGGGACCCAGTGACGGAGCAGCTCTACCCCGAGCCCCTGCGGAGCCTGGAGGTGCCAGCACGGCCCCTGCCTGTCACCACCATCGACGTCCTGGGCAGGGGGCAGCGGGCGCTGGAGGAGGCGGACACGGAGCTGGGTGAGGGCATGGGCGGCAATGGGGATATGGAGCGGGAATGGGACACAGGGGTCAATGGGGATGCTGCTGTCCCCAGGCCTGGCCTTTGACCCATGGGATGTGCAGTTCTACACCCGCCTCTTCCTCACTGCTGGACGTAACCCCACCACCGTGGAGTGCTTTGACCTGGCGCAGTCCAATAGGTGCCCTCTTACCCTGCCCCGTGGACCCTAAACCTACCCCTGGGGACCCTAAAACCTGCTCTGGCAGCCCTAAACCTGCCCCGGTCCTTCAGTGATGGTCCCCCATGACTGTGCCCCATTGCCCCCCCTTCCGCAGTGAGCACAGCCGCCACTGGTTCTTCAAGGGCCGGCTGGTGGTGGACGGGCGCGCGGAGCCGCAGTCGCTCTTCCAGCGCATCATGGGCACGCAGCGCTCCAGCAACACCAACAACGTCATCAAGTTCTCCGACAACAGCAGGTGGGGCTCCATACGGTCTCTATGGGGTCTCTATGGGGTCTTTATGGGGCCTCTATGGGGTCTCTGTGGGGTGCCCCACGGCTGACCCCAGCTCCCCCCACCCAGCGCCATCCGCGGGGCCGCGGTCTCTGCGCTGTGGCCACAGGACCCGGCCGGACCCAGCCCCTACGAGAGGAGAACCTCGATCCGTCACGTGACCTTCACCGCCGAGACCCACAACTTCCCCACGGGTCAGCGCGGGGCGTGGCCTCTGGAGGGAGCTTGGGAGGGGCGGGGTTGCGTGAGTGGGCGGGGCTTTCTTTGTTCCCGCCCCTCACGTCTGGTCCCGCCCCTCAGCTGTGGCCCCTTTCAGTGGGGCCACCACCGGCACCGGGGGCCGTATCCGGGACGTGCAGAGCACCGGGCGCGGGGCCCACGTCATTGCCGGTACCGCGGGGTACAGCTTCGGCAACCTGCTCCTGCCCGGTAAGCACCACACGGGGACCCCCCAGTACGGACCAAGGACCCCAGTACAGACACGGGGACCTCCAAAACCAGCCCTGGGTCCCCAAATACAGCTCCAGGACCCCCAAACCCCACCCCAGAACTCCAAAAGTAGTTTCAGAGACAGAGCTTCTGGGACCCCACCAAACCCCTCTGGAATCCCCTAAACACCACTGGAACCCCAAAAGAGCCCCCTTTTGCCTCCCCCCCCCCCCCCAGGCTATGAGCTGCCCTGGGAGGACCCGACGCTGCCGTACCCCACGTCCTTTGCCCGGCCCCTGGAAGTGGCCATCGGTGCCAGCGATGGAGCCAGTGACTACGGCAACAAGTTCGGGGAGCCGGTGCTGGCTGGTGAGTGGGGACCCCCCATGGGCTTGAGAGGACACCCAGAGACCTCCATGTTGGCAGCACCATTGGGGTGACACTGGGGGGTTGTCCCCAGGCTTTGCCCGCTCCTTCGGGCAGGTGCTGGCAGGGGGGCAGCGGCGCGAGTGGATTAAACCCATCATGTTCAGTGGGGGCATCGGGGCCATTGAGGACCAGCACGTGCGCAAGGAGCCCCCCGAGCCTGGTGAGACCCTCCTGGCACCCCCACCCCCCCCCGTACCCCCAGACTCTATGGGGGGGGCTGGCAGTCTCACCCCTGTCCCCCCAACCAGGGATGCTGGTGGTGAAAGTGGGAGGCCCCGTTTACCGCATTGGCGTTGGGGGGGGCGCAGCCTCCTCTATTCAGGTAACGGGGGGTCCCTAGGGGTGGGTTGGGGGGTCTCTGGGGAGGTGACCCATCGTCGCCATTGTGCCCCCCCCAGGTGCAGGGGGACAATTCAGAGGAGAGGGACGCGAGTGCAGTGCAAAGGGGGGACCCCGAGATGGAGCAGAAGCTGAACCGGGTGCTGAGGGGGTGCATCGAGAGCGGGGCAGGGAACCCCATCAGCAGCATCCATGACCAGGGCGCCGGTGGCAACGGTACCTGGATATGGGATACATGGGATAATGTGGGATATGGGGAATGGAGACATGAGGGCATGAAGATGTGGGTTGTGGGATATGAGGGGTGTCCCCATCACCGCTGTCCCAGGGAATGTCCTCAAGGAGATCAGCGAGCCAGCGGGAGCCGTCATCTACGCCAGTCGCTTTGAGGTACCAACACCCCCCATAGCACCCCTATAGCACCCCCATCCCCTGCACCCCATCCATGGGTGCCCCCCACTGCCCCCGTGCGGTGACGGGGGTGCTGGCAGCGTGGGGACCCGACACTGAGCGTGCTGGAGCTCTGGGGGGCCGAGTACCAGGAGTCCAACGCGGTGCTGGTGCGACCGCCGTGCCTCGAGCTGCTGCAGCGCCTGGCCCAGCGTGAGCGGTGCCCGCTCTGTGTGGTGGGGAGCATCACCGGGGATGGCAAAGTGAGATGTGGGGTGTGGGATATGGGGTATGGGATAGGGGGTATGGGATATGGGGTATGGGATATGGGGTGTGCGATATGGGGTATGGGATATGGGGCATGGGATATGGGGTATGGAGTATGGGATATGGGGTATAGGGTATGTGATATGGGGTATGGGGATATGGGGTATGGGATACGGGGTATAGGATATGGGATAGGGGGTATGGGATTTGGGGTATGCGGTGTGGGATATGGGGAATGGGATATGGGGTATGGGTATATGGGGTATGGGATACGGGGTATAGGATATGGGATAGGGGGTGTGGGATTTGGGGTATGCGGTGTGGGATATGGGGAATGGGATATGGGATATGGGGTATGGGATATGGGATGGGGGTATGGGATATGGGGTATGGGATAGGGGTATGGGATATAGGATATGGGGTATGTGATACGGGGTATGGGATATAGGATACACAGGGTATGGGATATGGGGTATGGTGACCTCAGCCCCATGGAGCCCTGGCCCCCACCAGATTGTGCTTGTTGATGACCTTGAGGCGCCAGTGCCTGAGGGGGGGTCCCATAAGGGGCTCCCCACCCCGGTGAATCTGGATCTGGAGTGGGTGCTGGGCAAGATGCCACAGAAGGTGAGGGGACACAGGAGATATGGGGGACCCACTGTGGGCACCCCATGGGCTGGCACCTTGGGGACACCCCTGTGGTGGTAGAGATCTCCCATTGGGAGTGGGGGCACCCAATAGGGATGGGGATCATGGTGCTGATGGGGACACCCAATGGGGATGAGGTCACCATGGTAACGAAGACACCCAATGGGCCCCCCCGCAGGAGTTTGTGCTGCAGCAGGTGCGCCCCCCCCTGCGCCCGCTGGAGCTGCCCCCAGGGCTGTCGGTGCTGGAGGCGCTGGAGCGGGTGCTGAGGCTGCCGGCGGTGGCCAGCAAGCGCTACCTCACCAACAAGGTACCACGGGGCACATCCCGTCACCCCACGGCATCCCTGGCACTCACCGGCACTGCTCCATGCCCCAACTGCTCCCTGCCCGCTGTGCTGCAGGTGGACCGCTCGGTGACGGGGCTGGTGGCGCAGCAGCAGTGTGTGGGGCCCCTGCACACGCCGTTGGCCGACGTGGCCGTGGTGGCCCTGTCCCACTTCGACACCGTGGGCGCTGCCACAGCGCTGGGGGAGCAGCCCATCAAGGGGCTGCTGGACCCTGCCGCTGGCGCCCGCCTGGCCCTCACCGAGGCCCTCACCAACCTCGTGTTCGCCCGCGTCACCGACCTGCGCGTGAGTGGGGACAGGGGGGGCTGGGGGCAATGGTGGACATGGGGGAGATGCCACCACCACTACCCCATGGTCAATGGGGACACCGGCATGGCCAGTACCCAGATATGGCCCATGAGGCTCCGTGGTGCCCACCGTGGCCATGGACACCACCATGACCGCATCCCTATTAGAAGGGGGCTGTGCTCTTGTCACCACTGGCCACTGAGGTTGATGGCAGGAGGTGATGGGGGACAATGGGTGACCCATCCCCATTGTCCCCATTGTCTCCATTGTCATCATTGTCTTCAGGATGTCAAGTGCTCGGGGAACTGGATGTGGGGTGCCAAGACGGGTGCTGAGGGGGGGGCACTGGTGGCTGCCTGCGAGGGGCTGGTGGGGCTCCTGCACCACCTTGGGGTGGCCATCGATGGGGGCAAAGACTCGCTGAGCATGGCCGCACGTGTCGGCACTGACACCGTCCTGGCGCCTGGTGAGGCCATGGGGATGTGGGGGGGAGATGGGGGCTATGGAGGCATTGCCATGGGGAGAAACCTGGGGGTGATACCACCACCATGGTGATGCACCCATGGGTGCCTCACTGTGAACCCATGACCTTTGACCCCGGCAGGCACGCTGGTGGTCTCAGCCTATGCCGTGTGTCCTGACATCACGGCCACTGTCACCCCGGACCTCAAGTGTCCCGAAGGCAAAGGTGGGTGCAGGGGGGGGCCCTATGGGTGCAGTGCCCTCTGCTGGGTGCAGGGGTGTCCCTATATGTGCAGTGACCCTGTGTTGGCTGCAGGGGCGCTGCTGTGGGTGCCGCTCTCTCCAGGCCAGCACCGCCTGGGGGGCACTGCCCTGGCTCAGGTCTTCTCCCAGCTGGGGGACGCCTGCCCCGACCTTGAGGACCCCAAAAGCCTCGAGGGGGCCTTCAGGGTCACCCAGAGCCTCCTCCAAGGTGGGTGCTGCCGGGGACAATGGGTGGGGGGGTTACAGGGGGCTGATGGGGATGGGGGAATTGGGTTGATCTGGGGTGCTATAGGGTGCCATGGGGTGCTCTGGGGTGTTCTGGAGTTTATGGTCTCCATGGGGTACTATGGGGTGCTATGGAGTACTATGGGCTCCATGGGGTGCTGTGGGGTGCTATGGAGTACATTTTGGGGGACTCTATGGGGTGCCCCATGTGCCCATGTGGGGCAGAGCGGGCACTGAGCGCGGGGCACGACGTGAGCGATGGGGGGCTCCTCACCTGCCTGCTCGAGATGGGATTTGCTGGGAACTGCGGCCTCCAAGTGGAGCTGAGCAATGCGGACTCTGGAACCCCCAGTGAGTCCTGACCCCCTTCAGGACCCTATAGCCCCATATCCCATACCCCATACCCATAACCAGTACCCATGCCCCATAACCCATATCCATATCCCCATCCTCAGCTCTGGCTGTGCTCTTTGCGGAGGAGCCGGGGCTGGTGCTGGAGGTACCGGTGGGCTCCATGGTCCGGATCTGCCGCCGGTACCAGGAGCAGGGTGTGAGCTGCGTCCCCATCGGCCACAGCGGCCCCTACGGGCCCGATGCTGAGGTGAGTTGGTGCAGGGTCATGGGGGACATTGGGGGGGTGCTGCAGAAGTGACCCCGTGGTGGCCTCAGGGAGACAGGAGGGTCAGGTGCTGGTGTCCTCTTGTCCCATATCCCATGTTTCATATATCCCCTGTCCCTGTCCCCATATCCCACATCCCATATCCCATACCCGTGGCAGGTCTGGGTGCTGGTGCCCATACCCATACCCGTGTCCCCCGTCCCTGCTGCAGGTGCGGGTGCAGGTGGGGGGCTTAGAGGTGCTGCGGGCACCCGTGGGCACCCTGCGGGCACTCTGGGAACAGACGAGTTTCCGGCTGGAGCGGGAGCAGGCGGCAGCCGAGTGCGTGGAGCAGGAGGAGGCCGAGACCCGGCAGCGCCGGGGACCCTGCTATAGCCTCAGCTTCGACCCATGCCAGGAGCCCCCGCTGCTGCGACACATGGGTGAGGCCATGGGGGGCTGTGGGATCATGGGAGTCTATGGGGCAATGGGGAGTCTATGGGAGCAGTGGGGGTCTATGGGGTCATGGAGGGGTCTATGGGATTCTTTGGGTCTGCGTGACTCTATGAGCCTTTATGGGATCCTATGGGGCTCTATGGGACGCTATGGGGACCCAGGGGGTGACACCACTGTCCCCAGAGCTGCCGGGGCCACGTGTGGCTGTGCTGAGGGAGGAGGGCAGCAACGGGGACCGGGAGATGGCAGCAGCATTCCTCATGGCTGGATTCCAGGTGAGTATCCAGGGGGGCCTGTGTGTCCCCCCATTTCCTGGGGGGGGAGGTGGGGTGGTTCCAGAGGTCCCTATTGGGGTGCCCCATGTCTGGATGCCCCCCAGGTTTGGGATGTAACCACTCAGGACCTGTGCTCGGGCTCCGCCACTCTCGATGGCTTCCGGGGGCTCGTCTTTGTTGGGGGGTTCAGCTACGGTGATGTCCTGGGCTCGGCCAAGGGTGAGAATTGGGTGGTGTCCACCCCCCAGGACACCCCATTGCTGACAATGGGCTTCACTGACAATGGGGTGGGGTTGGGGGGCTCGGGGGGGGGGGAGAGGGCACTGTTGGTTTTGGGGTGCCCCTGGGTTAGTGTCCCTAGATGGGGTAGTCTTTGTTGGGTGTCCCATTGGGGTCTCATTGGGGGTCCCTGACTGGGTCCCCTTGAGAAGTTCCTGTTGGGGGGGTCCTTGATCTGATCCCTGTTGGGGGGGGGCCCATCGCGGGTCCCTGACCCGGTCCCGTTGCGGTCCCAGGCTGGGCGGCTGCGGTGCGTTTCCACCCACGGGCACGGGGGGCGTTGGAACGGTTCCGGCAGCGTCCGGACACCTTCAGCCTCGGCGTCTGCAATGGCTGCCAACTGCTGGCGCTGCTGGGCTGGATCGGGCCCCCCCAAGGTGCGGGGGCTGGGGCGGGACATCCATGGGTGGGGGGTCTCTGGTTCGGGATATCCCATGTATGGGGGGGGATCCTGGGTCGGGGTATCCCATGTATGGGGGGGGTTCTGGGTCGGGGTATCCCATGTATGGGGGGGGTTCTGGGTCGGGGTATCCCATGTATGGGGGGGGTTCTGGGTCGGGGTATCCCATGTATGGGGGGGGTTCTGGGTCGGGGTATCCCATGTATGGGGGGGGTCTGGGTCGGGGTATCCCATGTATGGGGGGGGTCCTGGGTCAGGGTATCCCATGTATGGGGGGGTCCTGGGTCGGGGTATCCCATGTATGGGGGGGGTCCTGGGTCGGGGTATCCCATGTATGGGGGGGGTCCTGGGTCGGGGTATCCCATGTATGGGAGGGGTTCTGGGTCGGGGTATCCCATGTATGGGGGGGGTTCTGGGTGGGGGTATCCCATGTATGGGGGGGGTTCTGGGTGGGGGTATCCCATGCATGGGGGCGCTCCTGAGTCGGGGTATCCCATGTATGGGGGGGGTTCTGCGTCGGGGTATCCCATGTATGGGAGGGGTTCTGGGTCGGGGTATCCCATGTATGGGAGGGGTTCTGGGTCGGGGTATCCCATGTATGGGGGGGGTTCTGGGTCGGGGTATCCCATGTATGGGGGGGGTCCTGGATCAGGGTATCCCATGTATGGGGGGGTTCTGGGTGGGGGTATCCCATGTATGGGGGGGGTTCTGGGTCGGGGTATCCCATGTATGGGGGGGGGGTTCTGGGTCGGGGTATCCCATGTATGGGGGGGGTTCTGGGTGGGGGTATCCCATGTATGGGGGGGGTTCTGGGTCGGGGTATCCCATGTATGGGGGCGCTCCTGAGTCGGGGTATCCCATGTATGGGGGGGGTCTGGGTCGGGGTATCCCATGTATGGGGGGGGTCCTGGGTCGGGGTATCCCATGTATGGGGGGGGTCCTGGGTCGGGGTATCCCATGTATGGTGGGGGTTCTGGGTCGGGGTATCCCATGCATGGGGGCGCTCCTGAGTCGGGGTATCCCATGTATGGGGGGGGTCTGGGTCGGGGTATCCCATGTATGGGGGGGGTCCTGGGTCAGGGTATCCCATGTATGGGGGGGTCCTGGGTCGGGGTATCCCATGTATGGGGGGGGTTCTGGGTCGGGGTATCCCATGTATGGTGGGGGTTCTGGGTCGGGGTATCCCATGTATGGGTGTGACCAGTGGGGTGGGGGGTTCCCCTAAAGGGGGGTAGCCTTGCGGTGACGTCACGCCATCACGCAGAGGCGGGGGCGCCCCCTGCTGTCGCGCTCTGTCCCAACCTGTCACGACGCTTCGAGTCGCGATTCGTGACGGTGCGGGTGGAGCCGGGGCCGGCGCTGATGCTGCGCGGGATGGAGGGGTCCTGCCTCGGCGTCTGGGTGGCGCATGGGGAAGGTGTGTGCGGGAGCGCTGGGAGCGCTGGGTGGTTACTGGGAGGCACTGGGCGGGGGTCGCGCTGCGGGGTCTCTCACTGCTGCCCCCCGCAGGCCGATTCCAGTTCCGAGAGCCGGGCGCGCTGGCGGCAGCGCTGGGTGTGGGGCTGGTGCCGTTGCGCTATGTGGACGATGCGGGGCGCCCCACGAGCCGCTACCCCATGAACCCCAACGGCTCCGGCGGTGCCGCGGCCGCGCTCTGCTCCCCCTGCGGCCGCCACCTCGGGCTGATGCCGCACCCGGAGCGCGGTGTCCGCACCTGGCAGTGGCCCTGGTGGCCTCCGGCGTGGGGCAGCCCCACGGCTGCTGTGGGGCAGGAGGCCCCCTGGAGCCGCATGTTCCAGAACGCCTGCGAGTGGTGCCTGCGCTGGCCCCACGGCGAGCAGTGAGGGAGCCCGTGCCCCATATGGCTGCCCCATAGAGAGACTGCGCCCATAGACAGACACACAGATGGACCTGCTCCATGACTCTTCCCCACACCCCCAGCACTGACCAATGGGAGTGACCCCATCTCTCCCTCGACCAACCGGAAGCAGAGGATGTGGAGGGGGCGGGGCTTATAATAAAGCTCTGGATGCAGCCAAGTTGGGGAGTGAGGAATCAATGGGGGAGCAGGGGTGGGTTGGGTGCATGTAGGACCCCTTTCCCCTCCCCCCCATTTGTTCCTCCCGTCCCCCAGCCCCAAATCCCATTTGAATGAGCCCAAAAGGTGTCAGGGGTGTCTCTATGGGTCCCTATGGGCCTCTGTGGGTCCCTATGGGGCACTCAGCTGTCAGTGGCTGCTGTCACAGCCATCACTCCCCACCAGCGCCATTGGGAGCGCTCGGAGCCGCTTCCCCACAGCGGCATCTGCATTGGGGGGGCACTTGGGGTGGGGGGTGTCTTAGGCGGGACCGGGAGGTAATGTGAGGCAATGGGGGGGTAATAGGCAGTTAATGGAGGGTAAAGGGTGGCAATGGGGGGCGGTAATAGGGAGTTAACAGGCTCTATCCACTGGGTTGGAGAGATCTGATCTTGTCTGAATGGGGCTGGGCTGGGCTTAATGGCAGTAAATTTTGCTGGGCTGGGCTGAACTGGTCTGGGCTGAGCTGGCTGGGCTGGGCTGTAAACTGGGCTGAACTGGGTTAAATTGGGCTGGGACAACTGGACTGGGCTAAACTGGTCTGGACTGAGCTGGCCTAAACTGTGCTACGTTGGGCTGGGAAGGGCTAAAGTGGGCTGAAGTGTACTGGGCTGGGCTGCGTTGGGCTAAAGTGGGCTGGAATGGCCTAAACTGTGCTGGGCTGGTCTAAACTGGGCAGGACTGGGCTAAATTGGGTTTAACAGTGCTAAACTGATCTGGACAGATGTGAATTGGGCTAAACTAGGCTGAACTGGTCTAAACTGCTGGGCTGGGCTGAAGTGGGCTAAAGTGGGCTCAACAGGGCTAAGGTGTGCTGGAGTGGTCTCAATTGTGCTAAACCCTGCTGAACTGTGCTAAATTGGTCTGGTCAGGTCTGAACTGGGCTAAACTGAGCTGAGTGTTCTAGGCTGGGCTGGGCTAAACTGGCCTGGGCTAAATTGATCTGAACAGGGCTAAACTGGTCTGAATTGGGCTAAAGTGGGCTGGGCTAAACTGGAATGGACTGTGCTAAAGTTGGCTGCGCTGGGCTAAAGTGGGCTAAAGTGAGCTGGAATTGGCTGGACAGGGCTAAAGTGGGCTGGGCTGAACTGGGGTGAAGTGTCTGAAGTGAGATAAAGTGGGCTGGACTGGTGTGCACTGGGCTAAAGTGGGCTGGGCTGGGCTAAACTGGAGTATACTGGGCTAAACTGGTCCAAACTGTGCTGTGTTGGGCTATATTGGTCTGAACTGGGCTAAACCAGATGTAACTGTGCTAAACCTGCCTTAACTGGGCTGAACTGGGCTAATCTGTTCTGAACTGAGTTAGGCCTGTCTGAAGTGGGCTAAAGTGGGCTGGAGTGGTCTGAACTGGGATAAACTTGTCTGAACTGGGCTAAACTGGTTTGGGGTAGGCTGAACTGGTCTGAACTGTGCTAAACGGTGCTGTGCTAAGCTGGGTAAGCTACCCATGTAAGCTCTTGCTGCAAAGTAACCCTTGCCTTCCCCCCAGCCCCATGCTACACTTCAAACCCCTTCCTGCCCTCCTGACCTTGTCTCTCACCCTCCAGTCCCAACCAGCAATCCTTCTACTTAACTTCCATAGTGCCATGGGTCTCAAGCTGCCCTAGATGCTCAGAACACCCACATCAAAGTCTTGGGATCTTGCCACAGCTGCCAAGTTCCTCTGTATAACCTGCAACAAACAAAGGAACCAACAGGAACACCCTGTGCTGGCCATCATCATCACCACCACCCCACCCACCAATACTGGCCCAGTCTGTAACAGCCCTCTTCCTCCTTCAAAGCTCCTCAACATTATGTTTTCCTGTTCCAATCCCATAGTAGAGTCCAACACTGAGCCTCTCCTTCTCTCCAGGTCCTAGGAGTGCAATAGAGACAAATGACCACAGTGCTTGGAAAAAGTGACCGACCTCACAATCTTTCTCCTTACCTCCCTGACTCACCTCAAGCACTCATCTGACTCCAGTGGTAGAAGGCAGGCCCTGCAACACCAAACACAAATACTGAACCCCTTTGCCATGCTCTTCTCAACTCTAAACCACCAAACCCCCACACACAACCCCCTTACCTTCTCACAGCCCTCCTCAGTTTGCAGCTTCACCTCTCTGGGGTTACCTGCAGCACCTACAAAAGAAATGGAAACAGGTACACACAAAGAGATATAGAAGCTGCGCCCTTGCCTCAGCAAGTGCCATTTCCCTCTCCTGTCACTTCACTACTCATCCACTGAACTTCAAAGGTTTTCCATCCCTTTATTCTAACATGTACACCCCTTGGAAAACACTAACAAGAAGTAAAAAATACAGTTTTATGAAAATGACAAGACCATGAAATAAGATGTTACTTGGGTGTTCTAAGCATGGCTCACCTTGGCTAAATAACCTGCATGTCTTTTTTTCACTTAAAATATGAGAGCAAGTCTGAGCCAGGGAGCCTGTGTTAGTCTCAGTGTGAGATTTGTGTGGATGTGTGAGGCAGTGAATGCCAGGTTGAGCCCAAGTCTGAGCTGGAGTGTCTGTGCAGTTTAAATACATGAGTCTGAGCCAGTCTGTGTGGAAGCAAACCCATGTGAGTCTGAGCCCCAGAACCTGAGACAGAAAAACCCTGTGTGGTCTGAAACCAAATATAATTCAGAGCCTAACTGCATAAAAGTGAAGCTGTGCAGTCTGTGAGTTCTGAATGTAAATGTAAGGCAGCAAAAGAAGGCCAAAAAGGTAAAGCCAGAAACCAAAAGAGCCAGCTGTACCTTGTCAGGCTGTATTTACCCCAGCTGCTGGTTTGACCCACCCCTGAGCCAGGGCTGTGAGGGAGGGGCTGTGGGTAGGGCCTGGGGTATATAAGGCACAGCTTCCAAACAAGGAGCTTCTATAGGGTTTGGCTCTCTTGAAGGTAAGGTGTTTGGGGGGTTTTGTGGATTTAATGCTTTGTGCTTTGTTTCTGCTTTTGTTTTTTGAGTTCTTTGAAATGATTTTTTTTTTGGGCTAAATATTTTAAGCTACTTTAGTATTTATGTGGGCATGTACCAGTAAACTCTTTTGTGCTGTGGTTTTCTTTGAGGTGCTATTGTTATTGGTGGTTTTGAGCTAAGCAGATTTTTTTGGTTGCTCTCAGGCACAGAAATTATGGCAAGGTTTGTTTTTGTTCTAATTCCTTCTCTTTTGTCTCTGTTTCTTTTTGCATATGATGGTCATGGTTGTGGTTACTGAATGTATATACTAGTTATATGACTAGGAGATTTTTCAAGGGTGCCTTTGGGTCTGTGCTCTTATAAAAGCTAACTTGAATGCTTAGGTTTAAAGAAGACCAAAGCAGAACATTAATGTTGTTTTGGGATGTAGAGACTGTTAAAGAACTGGTGATTTTTGGCATGTAAAGGTATAACAATGATTTTTAGCTTGTTTATTTCTCACTTTTAAAGTATAGAGGGCGCTGTTTCTTTACAGTCTGATGTAGTTAATATTTCAGGGTATTTCCCTCTATTTGTTTGCCTCTAAAATGTTATATGGCTGGATTTCTGGTTTCTGTTCTTTTTTTTCTAACTGCTGTTACTGCAGATGATGGAAATTAATTGGGTGGGTGCAGTAAACACCCAGGTGCATAGTATGGGATATCTGCGCAGTAATTTTGGCTTGAGACTTAAAACACTATAAAAATTAAGCAGAAAGACTAGTTTTTGTGAGAAGAGGGGTGGGGAACAGCATCAGGATAGCAGGAATAGGTCTGAAATGTGCCATAGGGATGAGAAGAAGAAAGTGGGGCATTTTATAGCACCATCTTACAGTGGGTTGGGTAGTACAGCTTGTCTGCTTCAATGAGTGTATTTGATTGTGATCTGTGTTGGTGCTTCCACATCACTGCTAGGACTAAAGGTGCTAAGCCTGCTCTTTAGACCTTGTTCTTTATATCCTGACTGCATGAGTTGGTTGTTTAAAAGTGTGTCAGGCATTTCTTTTCACTCTTTACAAGCATAAAGCAGAGCAGAGCTTTTCCTGCAGTCAACCCATTAGTAGTCTTGTGGGGCATTGCTCCAGGTTGCTTTTCCAACTGTGAGGAGGTAAGGGGTTTGTGTGTGTGTGCGGTAGCTTAAAATTGAGAAGAAGGTGTTCAGTGCTTTCAGTGTTTGTGTTTGGCATTGCAGGTCTTGCCCTGGACCTCTGGAGTAGGATGAGTGCTTGAGGTGAGTGAGGGAGGTAAGGAGAAGGATTGTGGGGTCGGTCACTTTTGCAAGAACCATGGTCATTGTCTTCTGTTGCACTCCTAGGGCACGGAGGGCAGGAGAGGCCCCAGGTCAGACTGTGGAATGGCTTTGGGACAGGCGAGGCCAGTGCTGAGGAGCTTTGGAGGAGCCCGAGGGTTGGTAAGGAACAGGCCGGGCAGGATGGCTGGGGTGGTGGAGATGAGGGCCACCACAGGCTGTTCCCTGTTTTTGGTTTGTTTCTGCAGATGATGAAGAGGAACTTGTCAAGGTCTGCAGCATGGCTGGCGTCTGCCGTGGGAGTTCTGAGCAGTGAGGTTGCCTCGAGACGCATGGGACTATGCAAGCTAAGTAGAGGGACTGCTTTAGGAGGCAAGGGGGTGGGAGACAGCGTCAGAATGGCAGGAAGGGGTTTGAGATGTATCATTCCAATGTAGTATTTGAGGCAGAATGTCTGAGAAGACGCTTGGAGGTGCCTGGGAGGGGAATGGTCAGTTTTAGTAAAGGTAGTGCCTGGGAGTTAAATGCCAGGATGAGATGGTGCCATCTGTGGGGCTTAAATCTGGGGTGTCGTGTCAGGGACAATAGGTAATGGTCCTTGGTGAACCAGGCAAGGGTGGGAAAGTAGTGTTTGTTGCCTTTGGCTCCTCGCAGAGAGTTGTGCTGTGGCTGCTTCAGGCGAGGTCCAGCTTTGGTTGCTAGCCAGAGAGTTGTGCTTTAGAACTGCCTGGAGAAGTCCTGACCCTGGGAGACCTTCCTAGATACGG